ACAATCTAGTTTCACAAAGATGAAATGCTGAAAAAAGTACATTGAGTTCAAATCCATCCATCCTTGCAAAGCAGAGGATGAAAAGCAGTAGTGTGCCTCACGAGGACAACAGTCTCATTTTTGGGAATCTGTCCTGTCCCCAGGAGAGTTCCTGGAAAAATGTAACTGAGGGCTAAAGGCCTGTTTATCAATTAGCTCTTCCTCAAAGCTTTTCTCCATGTAGGCATAGCTTAAACCAGCAAAGACCCTTGTTGAAACTGCTGCTTTTTTCTTTTCCTTTTTTAAAGAAACCAACTCTGCTTTTCTTTCATTCTGTAGAGTACACAGCTGACATTATTACCCACATGCTTAGCAGTGCCTTTGCTGTAATGGATGACGCTAGTACTTAAATGCACTAGGAAGACAGGAGTGGGCTGAAGCCATTTTTAGAACAACATGCTACTTCTTTTTTTGGTGCTGACTCATTCACTGTACCTTGTGGTATGTTTACCTCGATTTCTTGCTGCTTCACAAGCTGTTGAATGGGTGAGGAAGGAATATTAATCAGTGACACATAGCATTGTGCTCCAGAACTACAGTGATGGTGAGTGCTAGGCTCTTGCCTAACTTTTGGCTTTATTGAAGGAATTACTTTTCTTTGACTAGCATTTACAGTTATTTTAGTCCTGGAAACTGGAAGTGACACTTTTGTATTCATCATTTTAACACAGCTATCTAGTTCATATCCATTTTTTTCTGTTAAAAATCTTTGCTCCTTGCTAGTGCTCATATCAGAGTGGAATTAATCAAAGTCATCGCACTGTACACGTGTGGAACCTAATTAACCAAAACAGCTGATGAAGACAGAAGAGATCTCACAGCTCATTTATTTTTTTTCTTAAAATATTTTATATTTAAATTAAAATGACAAGGAAAACAGCAGCAGGAACTACAGCTAAAACTATACAAAAGTTCACTTTACTGCACTTGCTACTTGATCTACTTGGGCTATTTTGCCTGCTGAGTTAGATGACAGAAATGTTTGGTACCCAGAAAAGCTCAATTTGTCTGCATTCAAAATAGAAATTAAAGGCCTGTGCATAATAACTGTTGCTAATCATTCATAAGATATAATATGATAAATGTTGTTAGTATACAGTTGCAAATGGTTGCCCTCTGTTCCTGAGGTGCTAGTTGACCATCTGGTTGACATTACAGCCCCCCCCAAATTGGCTTCCCACTCTTCCCCTGTCTCTTCTCTCTGAACATTCCCACCACCTCCACTGCAGCAGGAGCGATGAAAATCTGATCTGAATTTGAGAAAAATAATCATTATTTTACAGAGCTTTATTTCAGCTAATTTAGTTCTCCTAAACCATCCACTTCAGGATTAGATGACCATCCATGCTGGAAGAAGGCATGTTGACTGAATCACCTCTGACTTACATCAGCACACACCTAGTCCGAGGAGATCCCCCAGAGCCAAGGACTGTGTGTGAAGGAGAAGGGAATGTGAAACCCTAAAACAGGAGCCAGAGATGAAGCTTGGAGATGTACCAGGTTAAAGAAATACTTGCTTCCAACTCTAGGACATGACTGAAGCATATAATGTGCAGACACCTTCAAAACCTCTTTTCTCGTCTCCTGTTTCCAGGAATTTGAGAATTTGTTAGCAGCTTCTTTCTTAGAAAGAAAATTCCTTTATTCATTCTTCAGAGTTTCCATTCGAAGGAAAAAGCAGCTCATTAATTATGGTGGAAGACAAAATGGAAGCCCAGAAACATATAGCAGAAAACAAAGTCTCAAGCACAGGCCTAAGACACTGCATAGTCTTCCAGTTTGGGACTCTGCATGTCAAAACTCTCCAAGGGAAAACACGAGTAGCAATATTTTGTACAGGTATTGGGAAAAAATAATAATAAGAAAACCAATAGATAGGAAAATGAGTTGGCTACTGTGAATTCTCACATAACTAGGTAGCAGAACAAAACTCATATATATATTATAAATTGATAATATTAATATATAAACATACAAAATTAATCTTTATTATTCTATGTTTATGTATTCATATATAAGATCATTGAAGGACTATAATTTCACAGATTTACTTTAAAAAGAATTAAAAATACATAGCTGACATCAGTCAGGAGAAATGTCTTTTAATATCATGTGCTGTAATACTTTAAACACAGACACCCTGTGAAGGGCCTTGGGGTCTTATCCTAATCCATTCACTTGTGCACCTCAGGGAAATCTACTGCTGCATAATCAACTTCATAATCCCTTGAATTCTCATTGCCATGTACTCTGAAGTGAGGCAGTAAACTCTTTTGGCTAGGGATCCTGACATGTTTCTCTACCTTTCTTAGTTTCTTAACCTAATGATTATTTTTATCCAATCATTATTCAGTGATGCTTCTTGCACTGCCATAAGAAAAGTTAAATATGCCTCCTCAGATTTGCAGATAGAGCAACTGAAGTGTGCAGTGATTAACAAATTACATTTCCTGGGTCAGAGAGAAAGTTCATGGAAGAGCTAATAATGGGACATATCTCTGGTTTTAATGATTACAGTGTGACAGCACAGCATCCCTCAAAGTAGAAATTTCAAAACCAGGCATTCAGTTATGACATTGACAGAACGGGGTCCCTTCAATTTGTTTGCTGACCTTGGGCTAGTGAATAAGCCAGCTGCTCACTCTGAAAGATATCTATGCACTGAATGGCATATTCTGACAAGACAGGACACATATTTTATTTTAATATTTTGTAATAAGAATATTCCTTTTATAGAATTCCTTGTATTATTGTTTTGGACAAAAGTATAGATTCCTTACAGTAGTAACTGAGCACTCGAGTCTTTGCAGATTTCCATTATAAGATCCCTATGAATAGGGACTGGGTACTATGTCATTTTTAAAGGGGCTTAAAAACAAAGATCACAAAGTCTTTGTGAAGCAAAAATTTAAACTCATATCTCCTAGATTTTAAGCTGGATGAACCTGCCAGTGGATGAACCTTCCTGATTACTGAATGAAAATTCCTTTCTGTAGTCATCCCAATCCATAAAAAGCATAAAAAACCAACTCTGTGACAAGTGTGTTTTTTTGCTCCCTAAACTTGTCACTGGGCTTGTTCTAAAGCTTAGCGATAACCAAGTTAGTTTGTGAACTCAGCGTTGCACATTCACTTCAGAATGCTAATATAAGTCGGGAGTAAGGAGAAGGCCAATGAAAAGTAAAACCTGATGGTTTTTGCAAAGCCAAGTGCGATGTAGAGAGGGGGCAGAAGAAACAATGAAACATGATAGAGAAGGAAAGCACAAAACCCAACAGAGGTGTAGAGGAACCAGAGCCATCAGTGTAGAAGTGTGTAAAGGTAAGGAAAAAGCTAGCCATATCTAAACTTCTCTGCAATGTCAGAGCTGTCTGTACACATGGTTTAAGAACACAGACACAAGGAGAAGTGTGCACAAGACACATTTCCAGTTCTGGCTTGTTCAGTTAGATCAAAAACTTCCAGGGAAGTGCAGTCTGTTTTACATACATGAAAATGTACTTGGATATGATAAAATACCACAGCTGTCAGTCTAGACTGGAATCAGTTTGCATGGTAATGCTATGAGGGCTGCAATTTATTTTACTTTCTCTGCAATGAGAAACTTTCCCTGTATCAGTAGGGAACATTGATCCTGGATGTCTGCATATGCATTTGAAAAGATCTTGCACTTCAAGTGTGACTCATTTCTATTGGACACCTATAGCTCTGAGGGGAGAGAGCTCTGCACAGAAGTGTAGTTGTTGTTGCTAATCTGTGTTTGCCAGTTACTGCAGAGCCCAGAGGAACTGAAAATCTCCAAATACATAAATCTGGAGTACAGATTTCCCCATGTTAATGCGCGAATCAGTTAAGCTCTGGAGAAAGAGAAGTTCCTTAAAAAGCAATAGAAGAGAACACACTCAGAACAATGTGGGCTTTGCAGGCTGTACTTAGTAAAAATTACTAAAGGAATATTTGCATGCTGCATTTTTTCCAGTGACAAAGCTAGCTGAAGAAGTTATCCTCCCAGCTAATCCTTCCTTTCTTTCTGCTCTGCTTCCACTACAGTTCTCTGTGCAATTTCATGTGCTAATGTCACCTGTGATGGGACTGTGCTGGCCCTAGGCCATGTAAATGCTGTAAATGTCTAAAGATAGTATTTTGGAAGCTATTTTTTAAACCTGTGTCACTTTACGATCCAGATCATGGTTCAACATGATAAATAGCTATGTTAGCATGACTTTGGGGTGGGAAATGGCATTAGGCAGAAGGTATAAAAATTTAAATGTAGGAGAAAGTGGAAGCTTCTTGGTTGCTGCTAGAGAAAACAAATGTGCAGAACACACAAAAAACAGTCTGAGGGCCGGGCCCAAACTATCTATCTCCCTGAGGCACCCATGTAACTTTTAACAAGGATGTTGCTATAGTATGGTCTAAAGAGAGGGTCGTTCAATATGATCTTGGGTGACCCAATCACTAAAAGCAAATATGTGAGTGATCATCATCACAACAAAGCAATTGGGTACACCAGTAAATCCATTTTTCTGTTACTTACAGAAACATGGAGACAGGGAATAAAAGAACTCAAAAATAGGATTCCACACAGCCTGCTTTTAAAATCGCTCATTCACAGACGTATTTGAAACAATTTTTCTAGCCCTCAGACTGCTGGGAGAACTCCTTCTTTTTAGTGTGATATATGGATTTTATCAAGGTGTTCAATGTGAACTGCAGAGATGAAAACACAATCACTGACCTGAAACTAATTTATATCACACTGGTTTTATAGTTTTTAATCTGTGCTCTATAAACAAAGACAAAAGCTAGAAATTTCCCACTTTCATGCAATATCTGCATTACATGAGCCATACAGAAATTCTTTGAGAGCTACGCAGATAGATGTTGTATTTTTTACTATGATTATGGCATATACTGTGATGCTCTTTTCATTACAAATCTTAAGAAAATCTTCCTCTTACCTGAAGGTAATGGCACGGCCTCAAAGAAGGTTTGATTTCCTGATGAACCAGAGGCTTATCTAAGTTCAGTGATGATTTGCGATAAGCTTCTTTAGCCTGGCTTACTGTAAGCGTTGACCAAGAACTCCTTTTCATATATTTACTATCAGGGGTCATTGGTAGCCCTTCACAAGCCGAACACTTCACATCATTGTTACTTTTGGAAGTCTTCAATGAGAGATCCCCAAAATGCCCCTGGAGTGCCTCAGGATAACAATGGGATATATGATCTGCATGGTGCCTATTTACCACACTAGGGGTTCTGTAAGTGCTATCACTGTCCAAATTATCATCAGAGCTCCACCAGCTACTCATTCCAGATTTATGCTTGCTTTCTGGTTTTCGCTCCTTGCTTTTACTCCTTTTGCTATGCTTGGAATGGTGCCCATGATGATGATCGTCCCCTCGACTGTCTCCCTTTGTTCCATTAACATTGCCCTTGGATGATCCTTCCAGAGAATGCGATTTAGTAAAAAGTTTCTGGACAGAATGAACAAGATGGCGTATTCTTCCCGGGCTCTCACTGCGTTGTTCCGCAGCTGTTGAGGTCCTCTGGTACTGTAAAGTGTGAAACCCATCCCGGTGAAGAGGAAGTTGTTTCTCAAATTGGTCCAAAAGATTTGCAGGAATACGGTTAATCTTAGGGTTACCGTGAGACATGGTGCAGTCGTCTCTCGAGTCGTAATGTGAGCTGTAGTGCATTCTGGGGAAAGTGCTACTTGACATGTGATCGCCCATTACCATGGGCATCATCATGCACTCAGAATGAATGGAGCTGCGTGGAGAGCAACGATGGTGATCCAGCGGGCAACTCTCCGTGGGGCTGAGAAGATACGACTGCCTTGGCTCCTGCCCATGGTGGATATGGTCGTGGGTGTGTTCACAATCTTCAGGGGATGCTAAGCCACAAGTATGAGCTGAACATAACTGTGGTTGATTGCGACTACCAGATAATCCTTTCATATTCCTCGCAGCAGGAGAGTATCTTTCTTCATTGAAGTGCTGAGAAGGTGACCATGAGTACTGCTGGTCTGTCATGGGAACATATAAAACCTGTGTTATGTGTCTGATTAAAAGATTAACTTGAAAAATCCAAGTATATTGAAAAACTAAACATTTTTTCTCTATTAGTGAGATGGAAAGTCTCACCATTCCTGAAATTTCATTCACCATTTTAAAACTTGTTAAAATTTTTCACTATGAGCAAATTATGGGGTGAATGCAGCCTCTTTCCTGTAGTTCTAAATGTTATGAAGTTATTAATTGTGTAAATTTACTCAAGTTAAATAGATATATTCAGATATTTAATTTATTCTTTGATATTTACAAATCATATGTCAAGCTTTGTGGCTAGTCATTTGAGTTACATGGGTCCAGTTTCTATTTCGTTGGTTTCACAGCTGGATATCTTAATTTAAATGTATTCTTTCTCCATGGAACCATTTTTGCATTATAAATTAACTACATTTTCTTAAATAAATCTCATCTTCATGATCCCAAGTTCATTCTTCATAAATATAAATAATAAACAGCAAAGAGAAAGAAGAATATGAACATGCTGAAATGAAGCTATAGTTTATATCACTAAACAGTTTATGAATAAGCATTTCATACTGTTTGAACATCCATTATCCTTAGTCCAGAAGTATTATTGCTATTCCCATACATTTAGAGTATTCTCTATTAGGCTGTTTTCCCCTTTTTATTATCGAACTACAAAATATTTATTTAATGACTTTAAATTATCCCTGATAAAACAAATATATTTTGGTACAAGCTACGGGGGTTTATGTACTTGATTATTTGTTCCTATGAATCATGTGCTCCAAGTTGTGTTTATTATACAAGCAAAGCATGATTGCTAAATAAGAGTAGCTTGTAAGCAAAGATTTTGATACTTAAGCTTTTGATTTCTTCTCTTATGCAATTTCTTGCAGCTGTCAAACGCTACAAGAAAAAAAATTTTAAAAGCCCAGAAATACTTCAATTTGATTTTCTCATTCACTTTCCCTCTTCAATTTCAACTTATTTCAGAAACATTTCAAAAGTAGACAAAGATATAGGATGCAAGATAATCCTTCAGAGGATCAGAGAAATGTGTGTTTACACAATGCACTTAGCACAGCCTTTCTGCAAATTTACTCTAAGAATCTAAATCATCTCACACAGGTGCTTGATACAAGGAAGTTGAAGGCCTCAACCAGAATGGAACCCAGACGATATCTATTAACTGGACATTGAAAACCAGCCTGTAGAGATAACACAGTAGATGAAAGCCCTTTGAGGGGTTTCTAAGCATATGATAAAACTCTCCTAAATCATATTGCCACTGCTGGTGAAAACTCCGTGCCTGGATATGTTCATGAGACAGATCAATACCCATATCTCTCTAATTTTACTCAACTAATATGTGTTATATCATGATATCCTCAGTACAGAAGGCCATTTGTCGGCAAGTCCTTAGCATCAGAAATCTCATAACCTAAATGCTCTATATTTCCTCTCACGGGAGATGCTTTGATAATTTTATTACACCCTAATTTCAAGAGAGCTCTAGATAATGTTTTAAAATGAATGCAGCATTAAACTAATAAACAGTAAAGTGTTCTTCAGCCTAGGCACAATCTGAAGCCAAAGATGGATTTAAGGGTCCGAATGTCACCTCCAGACTTTATCATGGCATGAAAATGGTGGGTATGTGCATGTATCCTTTTCTGCTTCTATTTTGTTTTCATGTCAGTTTCTTTTACTTAGTTCTTGGTTATTATCACATTAAAATAAAAACTTATTACTGATTACTCAGTCTGTTGTGCTATTTAGGTTATAATACCTGCATAAATGTAGTTACAAAAAGGTAATATAACTGTTTCTCTGAAATGATGTAATTTTGATTATATACAGACAAGGTAGTAAATTATAACAGTGCAGTGGGATTCACCTACAAAAGTCCTGTAATTAGTGGTACTTAACCCAGGATATTACCAAACACTATCAGGGGAATAATAATGGACCATGTGTTGGACTTAGTCAGTACTTCCCATAAAGGGTTCCCACAGCACCTGACAGAGATTACTGCATTAGTTTTTACAATCCCATGAGATTAGACAGACAGAAGAAATTTTTTACAGTGAGGGTAGTAAAACACTGGAAGAGGTTGATCTAGTTAAAGATGTCCCTGCCCATGACGGGGAGGTTGGACTAGATGACCTTTAAAGGTCCCTTCCAATCCAAACTATTCTATGTGGAAGATACTGTTCTCCTTTTACAGAAAAGGAAATTGGAATACGGGCAACATTTTCCAAAGTTCTTATGGATTTCCTGGTCTTAATGTTCACAGAGGTATGAGCCAGAAGGAGGTGGAAGGAAGCTCTTCCGTCAAACTGACAGCACAACGAGAGTCAATCCCAAGCCTTTTTGTCACAATCTTGCACATCTGTGAATGAAGGTAACTTGCACTACACCTCAGTGATGCATTTAGACAAAAAAAGGAAGGGCATGGCAGAGATCCAGAATGAAAGAAAGAGAATAAGAACTCATTTAAATGAGTTCCCTAGCACAGAATTGCTAGTCCCTAGTTATTTCTTTAGACCTCACACAGCATCAAACATAGCCCAGAAGGCTTCAAACCTTTTCATCCTGTTACATCCCTAGGAATATGAAACACGATGATTTGATTACATTGCAATGCATAATGTAACAACAGCTTTTCCATCCCTCATTACTCCTTGTGACTCCAGCTCAGTGCGAACATAGAAAAATACAATTTTCTGTATGTTGCTTTCACCACTATATAGCATTTTATGTGCTTCATGGAATGTCTGAATTCTTTTTGATTGAAACACAGGAGCTACAAAATGCTATAGGCATTTAATAAGCTTAATCAAAATAATTAAAACATTAATTAAAAAGGTGACATTTATCAAAAGTAATTGTCCCTTCTTAAATCTGTCATAGAGAGTAACTAAAAGTAGATAAAGTCCCAAATAAATGTGTATCATCTAAATTTATCACTTCAATTAGGTTCGAACTCCACTTAGGACATCAAACCTGCTCACTGTCCTAGGCACTATTACTTTTTCTTACAAACCTTTTGAAAATCTTCAAAAATTGAAATATAATATAGAATTTGTGCTTTGCACTATTCAGTCAACTTTGTTCAGGAGACCTGTTTCAGGGCTCAAATAAGCAGTTGAGCTGCTGCTGAATGAAGTACTGCGTGGTACCAGACCAGTGTAATTGCCCATGTGTTGGCTTTTAGCCAACCAACATTGTGTTGGCTTAAAATTCAATTAAACTAACATGTTTTTCTAGCATTTGCAAAGGGCTAAAAGTGTGTATATGGTCAATGCCCACAGCTCAGGCGATTAATAAAATTTCATCAAGCTACAACAAAACTGGTTTTTTTTCAATCCTTTAAAAAGAAATATAATATTTTAGTATAGCAAAATAGTTCCAGATTTATTCGGTAATGACAGATTGGCTTGAAATTTTAGTCTATATTTTTGAAGATTTTTTTTTTTACAGCAGCTCCTATGTTTGCTATGGGCAATCATTCTAAAAATATAAAAGTGCCATCATCAGAACCAAAGAGCAAAGGGAGACAGAAGAACAAATAAACATAACCCAAAGCAGACAAAGAGATAAAGGAATAGGAACAGAGAAAAATATATTATATGTGAGCATAGGAATGGCTTTTTTTAGGTCTCATCAGAGCAAAATGGAATCTTTCAATTGACTTCAATGGATAGTCCGATAATACCTAAAGACTGGGGGCGGGGGGCGGACCTAGAACAAGACACAGGCTGTTATGTCAGAGAATCTAGTAATTCCAAAACCCTGAAAATCCCTTAAAGCTTTTCTTTTTCAGAGACAACTCTACAGATATAAGTCAACTTTTAACCTCGACAGATGGAAGGATTTCTGTATCCCTTCCTATCTATTTCAACTCTTTCCCTGCTATGCCATGTCCTGTCCTGCTTTTTTCCCCCCGTTTTCAGTTCTGGGCTTTCTGGTGCTAAAAGAGTTGCTCTCTTGCTCCAAGCTGAAGTTGGTTTGCCTCTCCTTAGGGTCTGGTCACAATTTTTGGAGCATTCAGGCTTCTTTCTTGTGCTAGTCAGTATCAGGAAAAGAAAGAGAGGTTCAAGGACCAAGAGTAATGTTTGAAATAATGAATTAGAATTACTATGAATGTTCTAAGGCAAAAATGCTAAAAAACTCCAAGTAATGGGAAATAAGAGCTGTGCGTTTCTAGAGTTCCTGGAACACTGCTCTTGGCTAAAGAGAATCAATATAAAACCACTGAAACTTTTCTGCTATTCAAAAGAAGTGCATGTCTCCGCAAATCTTTTTGTGTGTTGTATATTGAAAGCCAGCTTTCAGAGCATAATAATGGCTTCTGGAACTAATAAATGATGTCTGATTTTTCCTTTTTTTATTTATTTAATTTCTTGCAAAGCACTTATCTTTCTATTGAGAAATTAATTTAAATTGCTTTAACCTTATAAGCCCCTTGGTAAATGGCTTTCCCATCTGAAATATCTGTGCTATTTTCACCGGAGAAGAAACAGCTCTTTTGCATAGTATAACCAGAAAAATGCATTGCTGAAAAGAGATACCTAATCTAGCTTTCAAAAAGAGCTGCTAGACAAAACCAGACTGCTGCATGTTGCTGTTTCACACAGTTTTATCAGTGTTGTGATGCATTATGAAAAATATATACTCAGTCTCACCTAAAATGAATAAAATCCTGAAAAAATGGGTACATTAATCAAATAAGTTGATTCTAAATATCTACTTATAATGGATAATTAAAATGTTTTAACTGGAAAATTGTCTGCCCAAGGTCTTCATTAAGTAGTACTAGATGAACACTGTTTCCTCATTAACTGATTATATTATTTTTCTCTGTTTTATTCTAACCTTGAAAATAAATATTTATAGGGATTGAGAAGAGCGCTAATCTGCCAAATGCAAGTAAGAAATTCTGGAAATGCCTTAAACTTCTGTTATGGTCTCATGAGATTTCCAGCCT